TTGACATCGTTAAGGGACAGCGACGAGGCCTGCTGCGATATGACCTGTGCCTGATTGACGCTCGGAGCCACGCTATCCAGCGACAATGAGCGGCTTAGTGTCGGCGAGTGCTCGGTGGTGGCTATAAAATAAATATATAGCATACCATCCAGTTATTCCAGATTTTTTAAACAAATTTTTAATCAGTATTCCCATCCATTTTTCGACAGTAGTGCGTTTTAAACGTGTAGTTAATACATCTTATAGGGCTGGATTTTTGACTTAGAAATTAGTCTAAGGCCCTAATTTCCACTCGTGCACCAGGAATATTTTTTAAGGCAAATTCAACTTCCAAGCTTGCAACTTTCTGCTTCAGTCAGTCAGCTTATATAGACTAAATAAAATATTTAAAAGCATGCAAGCATGGACTTACGTTTATTGCACTCCTTGTTGATGCGTCGCACATCTATGGGACAGTAGCCAGGATGCAGCAGAGCAAAGGTAGAAGCCTCTGGTCCGATCCCTCTGGCCTTCTCCCATTCGTATAGTTTGCGTGTGAATTTGCGTGAGATACCCTCGAATTTCATCACCTCGCCGTCCGAGGTCTTAACCTCAATGTTCTTGGATGTATGATCCGGTGCCACAATGGCCTTAAGGCGCGCCAATCTGTAAGTAAGGAGGGCAGATAAATAGCAACTGATCCAGATGGTGGCAAATGAGGGACACACTTTTCATTGTCGTGCGGCTTATGCTTGTACCAGCGATCATCATCAGAGCCGCGGCGCGTGGACTGGCTGTGCTTGGAGTTCCGCTTGAGGGAATCATTGTCGGAGTTGGTGCCGCCGCCCGGCGTACATTTCAATCGATTCCATTGCTCTGGAGAATACGTTGTGTAGAAGTAAAGGTCTATGCACACAACTGGACACAACTCACCCAGCTTCTTTTGAAACTTTTCGGGCAAATCCTTTTGGTCTGGCAGCGCACACAAGCCCTGACCTTCGAGCTTCAGTGCGCCCGAGCTCCAAAGATTCCAATCGATTTTAGGCTTCAAGTCGCCGCCACTTAGACTCTTCGCTGTGGGACTGGCCGCTGGCTCAGAGCTGGCATAACAGTTGGAGTTCTGCTGCTTGGCGCGCCACTTGTGCAGCTTCTTCTTGAACTGTGGCGTCAGATTCTGCTCTAGCTGCTCGGTGGACATAAGATCGCTGTGCAATAGCTGTGTGGGTGAATGCTCCTCGCTGCTGCGTTTGCCACTGCCGCTGCCACCGCCGCTACACAGCTTGACGCCTGGAAATGAATCGAGATTAGGTCTGGCCGGGGGATTACCTGGATCTCGGTCGTGTGGCTTACTGCGATTACTCGCGCTGGATCGTTCGAAATCGAGTTGCTTTCGCTTGAACTCCGTATCTAGTTTGAGTAGTAGAAGTTGATAATGTTGAAATACTTCATCTTCTTTCTGTGTGAAAGTCTTACAGTTTGGCGTTGTGGGCTCGGAAGAAACGCCACTGGATAGTTCCTCGCTCTCTGCAAAGCCGATACGTTAATGGAAACCGCAAACATTGCATTGGTAGCCACAAAAAGCTCACCCACCGAATTCACCAAAGAAATCCGAATGCCTAGATGGACTGCTCGGCACGGAGGAGTTGCCCGGTGAGCTAACCTGACGCATACGCGACATGGCTGCCATCTGACTGCCATCCTTCGGACTCTTGAGCGGTGAGTGCAGCTGTGGCAGATCGCTGCACACCTGATTCAGATTTAGTGGACTGGGCGGTAGCTTGTTGCGTCTACTGCTCGTTGACCTTATGTCCGCCACATGATCCTCTGGCAGCACCTCAAAGTCGGAAAAGGCTTTCGATCGACGTAAGGATTTATTCGAAGAAGATTTGCTAGGCAGCGTTGGCTTGGCCGTATCTAAGCGCTCATCGGTGGCGGATTTGCGCAGCTCCACCTCATAGCTGGAGGCATTCGTGTCGCTCTTCGATGAGTGGCGACCTGGAATGAAAGGATTAGCTGCAGCAAAAAGTAGGTTGCGATTTCAGCATGGCATTTACGCATAGGTTGGCGACTGCCAGCATCCATGTGCAGCTCATCCATGGAGCTGGCCGAACTGATGGTGCCAGGCGTGCCGCCCGTTTCGCTCATAAAGTGGCCCGACGAGGAGCTAATGATGCTGTCCGCTGAGCTGCTGCCGCCAGCAGTGCTAATGGGCACTTTTAAATATCTAAGAAAGATAACAGGATTCCATGATTTCCTCCACGGATCAGTATAAGTATTTTAAATACCTTTCAACTTCTAGATTCAGTGGCAGTAATGAGTTGGATTCCTGGCCACTTGTGGGCGGCACATTGGCTCGCTCCCATTTAAAGGCAGCTTTTACCTTGGTCCACTTGGACACCTTGGACTTGTTGTCGCTGTAGGTGCTCTGGCGGCGCAACAAATATGGACGCGACGAGCTCATCTTTAGCTGGCGTTCGCCCTTCAAATACATATGTATCTCATCCTCCATCATGGATTTGCTGCGCTCGCGTATTCTATGGTGTGGTTTTTAGGTTTACAGATTACAAATCAAAATACAACATATATGTACATACCGCTTGAACTTGCCCTGCTTAGTGGGTGGCACCACCTCAGTGCCTAAGAGTGATTCCAACCAGGTCAGCGAATGCTCCAGCTCGAATTCGTTGTCGCCAGTGGGACTTGTTGTCGCCGGAACTGGCGTAGCTTTTGCTGCTGCCGCTTCTAACTCATTCTCGGTAGTTGGCTCCTCCTCGTTGTCCGTGATGGTAGCCAGTTTTTGCTCCAACAGGCCCTCCAGCAAAGCGTAGGTGCGAGTGAGCTGATCCATGGCCTCAATGGCAGAATTGAGTCGATTCTTGAGCGGCTCAATTGTGCCACGATCCGCCCGGTATGGCTGGCAGAAGTAACAGCTGTGTTTTCCGTGCTCACACACCGGCAAATCCTTCTCCTCGCACAACTTGGGCGAGGCAGAGAGATTGCGGGCACGCGACGCCACAGCGGGAAATTGAAAGATGTTCTCATCGGCACGTCCGCACATGGCAGGCGGGGCTGTCGGTAGGGATTCATAGTGCATAGCACTGATTCTATGTCGCGTACGACGCGGCTTTGGCGGTGGCGCCCTATCCATTCCAAGTTGTGAGTCCAGCGCAAGACCACTTCTATTTACATAAATATATATATGTATGTTTGTATATATATCTGCGAATATGTGTGTGTGTGTGTGTGTGTGTGTCTATACGCGTATTGAAATGCTCAATTGGCTTTTGTTTGTTTACTCGGCGAGATACGCCACTAGAAATACACGCAAGCCAAGAATATCCCACGAATTATCGAAATCAAAAATTTGTTTATAAAAGAGGAAGACAAATGTAGAACGTCCGCCACACACATACACACACTCGCACATAAATTGGCAGACTTGTATGTTGTGTGTCTGTGTAGGTATATATGTATATCGTATATAGGGTAATTTAAAATGCCTTAAAGTGTAACGCTTAAAATACATGAAATAAACAATAAATTTGAAAAACGAAATTTTAGCACGTTTCGCCACATGTGCAAAAGTTTTGGAAATATTCTGAAAATATTTACGCGTGTGTGGTCAATAAACGGAACGAAACGGAGCACCACAATTGGCGAATGATGCACTTGGTGGCACAAATTGGTATACAAAGATTTAATAATCCAGCGATCGACAAGCCTCGAGAAAAATCACACAATATCACAATAAATAGAAACAATGGCGTAAACTATTTTTAAATTGCTGACACTCTTTTGTTTGGTCTGCTGCTCTCCTCCTCTCCTCCTCTTACCCTCCCCCCCCCCCTTTCTCTTTACTCCGTAAACACGCCCCCATCTCCTGTTGCCAAAGTAAGCACACTTCCATTATTTCATTTTTAGGTTACACGCAATTAATATTTCCAAATTTCTGGGGAAATTGGGCCCCCTAGGTGCACGCAGAGGCTTCAGAATTGGGAATGGGCGCATATGTGTGTGCGTGTGTGTGTATGTCTGCGAGTGGGGCACATCATGTGTATATCTTAAGGCCCATTACTTTCACTAGGCGTTCGTTTCGCCACTTTCAGAATATTAAATCGAAATTGTTGCCACATTGAATACGAATATCTTACTTTATACTTCAACGAAGAAAATACACAAAATTAACACATTATGAATACGATTTTTTCTTGCAATTGATAGTTTTTACTGGTAAGGATTTGCATAATAATGAAACAATAAATTATTACTTGCACTTTTGTTATGCATACAATCACCCGCCCCACCACAGAATCTCCTTTCTGCGCTGTATTGTATGAGATATTTCGCGATTTTTCACGCCGCGAAATCCGTATTATGCCGTTCGTTGGTCGAATCTATTCTGAGCACAAATGCACACGGCGAGCGCTTGGCGTACTTATGAGAAAATCGAAAATTTATTTTGTATATGTATGCCATTAAAAGTGTTGCTCTTGATCGCCTGGTTAATTTCTCTTTATTCATTGCTAGAATGAAATTTAATAGAACCCATGTTTATATTTAAAATTTGTTCTATTAGTTTCTAAAGATGATTTTTAACGTATTCTTTAAAAATATCCTTACAGAAATTAATAACTGTCATTTAACTGGCGTGTCTCTGCTAAATTTCCCAAATATATCATTCAACTTGGCCACTCTGCAAGGTGTGAAACTTTGATTTTAAGTTAATTTACTGACGTATGTATTCCCTATTTAGAATATCCCAATAAGAAAACTGTAAGCCAATAATCGATTCATTGTTATTTGGATTTTTATTGCGCAACCCAAAAAAAAAAACACAAAAGGATAAGGTTTTGCACCTTATAGCGAAAAAGAGTAATTAGGGGAAAATTAGTCAAAATGAAACAATTGGTTTAGTTTGCTGTTAACTCTGCTCTTCTGTATCGATAGTTTTGTGAATAGAAAAGGTCCATCGGGAATTTGGAGACACGATAGTTTTCCAATAGTGCGCTGGTCACTCTGCTGTTGTGTTATGATTTTGTATGGAACAGCCGGGGAAAAGTTAAAATTATATAATTATAACTAAATAAATAACTCTAGAGATTTCAATAAAAGTAATAACAGAAATGTTAACACTTTTAACATCAATTCGTGCCCTTGCCGTGCGCCAGCCAACGGGAGAGGCACTACGCTGCCTGCACCTGACTGCAGTCACGGAAGCGGCGCGCAAGGGAACCCGTGAGAAAGCACGCAAGAAGAAGGTTAAAGTTGAGGTAAAAAAAGTGGGATTCATTCCCCATAACCAGCGGGACAAAAAGTGAGTGACAATTCTGCAGATTCTAGACAATTTAATGCTATAATTGCCATTCTGTAGAATCAATGTTAAACGGGCTGACAAACACGTGGATGACTCCTGGAAGCAGGTGCCAAAAGATGACGTCTACGTCGGCCGCTATTACCGCTGGCCAGTGTATACTGTAGCTGAGGCCATACAATGTCATCGCGAGACGCATCATCCTAGTATGTACAATGTGCCAAATGCTTCTCTAAACGTAGAAATCGAGCTTAATATGCAAGGTGAAAAAGCGACACGATTTGTGGACAATTTCCAGCGCATGGCCATGATACCACATAAGTTTCATCACGGCGAAGATAGGAAAATCATAGTATTTACTAAGGAAAATGTAAGTTTTTAAAGAATGGAACAAAACATTATGCTTGCTAATTTATGGATTTTCAGGAGGAAATTACAAAGGCGCGCGAAGCGGGCGCCACGCTTGTGGGCGGTGTGGAGCTGATCAAAGACATAACAAACGGCGAGCTTTTGCTGTCCGACTATCAGTTCATTATTGCTCATCCCAATATACTGGCGGAGCTCGTTGCACTACGTGGCCTGATGAAGCGCAAGTTTCCCAATCCAAAAAGCGAAACACTTGGCACAAATCTTGCCGAAATGATTACCAAATTCTCCAATGGCATTAGCTACAGTGCAACTAAAGACGAATACCAGCAGAACTTTGGCTTAATAAAAGCCAATGTAGGCACTTTGGACATGGATACACAGCATCTGGAGGAGAATATACGCTTTTTGTTGCAGGATGTGAATACAATGCGTCCCAAGCGAGATGGACGCTTTATAACACGTGTTCTGCTTAAGAGCGCGCCCAGTAGCGAACAGCTGAAAATCGATCCATTTGTATATATACCTGAATTGTATGACAAAAACGTTGCTAAAGTAAGCAAGGAAGCCAAGATGGAAGCGGAGACACCAGAGCAACAAGTGGCGGCAGCCGCAGCAAATTAGTTTAAAATATTATCTTCTTATAAAATCTGTAGCTTTAACGCTAATGGATGTATTTGTGCATTGAAGGTCGGAATATATTCTTTAAACATTATAAAATTTAAAGGAACGTTTTGATTCTACACAGTAAAGAACCTTTTTATCCGTCTTTGGGTTTGCTTATGTATAAAGTCTTCGATAGGTTTATAAAAAGTTAAAAAGATATTTGTGTGCTGCGACAATAAGAGAAATTTGAGCGCCGTACACTTGATCTAATGACAGATACATACACTTACACATGTATACGGTTAAAAGACTTTGAAGAATTGCACAATATAATGCACATACATATATGAAATATATATGGCAAAAATATGCTACAAAATCAGTACAGTTGTTGCATATCCAGTTCACAACGTAGCTGAGTCGAATAATACATAATATTTTGCTCTGAAATATTTGCTTAGGCTTTCAATGTTGCGGTGCTGCGCTGCTGGTGCTGCTGCAACATTTCCAATTGCTTGACGCGCGTGTATGCGGCACTTGCAACCAATACAACTATATTGGAGGTCCACCAGATCGCGGAGCGTACATCGTTGTAATACTGCGTGGCAATAACTGTTTGGGCGCACGCTTTAGCCGTGCCCGAGATGTTGTGCGTTAGCGGTGAAGTAACCTGTAATCAGCAGATGTTTGATAAGTACATACCTTTGCTAACGCTAGCAGTTGACTCACTTACCTTTATCTCCAAAGCTGTGACAAAGCCAATGGCAAAACCACAAAATCCACTGAGCGTCATAGCCGCCCAAAACCAGGCAGCCCACAAATGCGGATATGCCAAGATTGTACTTAGCTCACCATTTAGAATAATGAGTGGCAAAAATAGAATCGTGGAGTACAGATTATTGTAGTAGCTAAGCAGCCAGATTTCCTGGTTCACATAACCCAGCGACTTTTTCGTTTGTATCGAGTACATGGCCAGCGCCAGGGAACTGAGCACACCAAATATTGTGCCGCGCCAGGAGAAGGCCTTCGTTAGGCTCTCCTGATCCACGCCTAGCCAAAAGCCCACCACAATGGTGGCACAGCACAATAAGCACTTGAAGCTGGTTCTTTGCCTCAAGATCACATAGGTCAGCACCACACTAAACACTGTGGTAAGGGAGCGTCCAATGTAATAGAAGGCAACCGTTACATACGCCAGCGACAGATTATTGGCGCCAATCATTAGCGTGTAGAGCACCGTCAAAGGCAAAAGCTTGCGAAATGTATCAATGTCCAGTGGATTTCCCTCCGGGAAGCTGAAGACACTCGGATACTTGCGACTGAGACGATTTATTACAAAGCAAATGGCGGTAGATATGACGCACTGATACCAGGACATGAAGAGCGGAGCTCCCAAATTAACGGTTTCGCTGCTCAGCAGATGTTTGTTCACAAACACGGTCAGTATGGAGGTGCACCTGGCGCAAAAAGGCAACGTGTTAAATATCCAATTATCTGGCCTGATAAGCCCAATTAATTGTATCTTACCAATACAATGCAACCACAAAAAATATCTTAAGATATTTATTCACAAGTCGATTGTGCTCTTCTAAATTTTTATACATTTTGCCCGAGTTCAACGCAAATTAAGGTCTTGTTATTAAAATAAATAAAATAGTTATGCGTCGTTGCACATAGCCGGCTGTCGATCAGCTGTTTACGTTACAAATTTCCCTGCTGAAAGCAGCCACCCCCTCTACACATACACACGCGCGCATACACATTAATAAACGCATCTGTATTAGTAAGGTTAAGCTCAAATTTATTTGAAACATATCTTTTCTATTAATATTAATATCTCATTTTCTTGTCTGTTGGGTATTTATTTTTATGCTTCTTAATAGTAATTATTTAATAATAGTAATTTATTTCTCCCATTCGCGGAATTCGGTACCTTCGGGCGGCTTGACAGTGACCTTCTCCTTGCAAACCTCGTTCCAGTTGGTGCTTAGAACTGTCCCACCAGATTCTGAGAAAGATTTGTTCATGGCTTTTTGCACTTCCGGGGAGGATGAGCTGTAGATCTTTTTGAATAGCTGGTTCAAGGCGGCCTCGCCCTTTGCCTCCTTTTCGTCAATTTTTTCCTCTTCGATGACCAATCGATCCCAGTTCTTAGCCTGACGAGTGGACAGTACTGCAACGGGTTCAGCTTTTTGTTCGAGGTTCTCCCAGCGTACGCCCGTCTCTTTGGCCAATGTTATTTCAACTTTTGTTGCATAGGCTTTGTGTGAGGAGCGCTCCACAACAATTGGATGGAGCAGATGGAGCAGCATCTCATGACCATCTGCGGTCATATGTACTTTTTGTGCCTCAATCTTGACGGCGTAATTCTTCTCTATGGCGCCTTTGAGGAGGACTGTTATGACCACTTTGGTCTCTGATTGATACCAGTCAAATCGCATAGACATTCTGCGTATGAACTATCAGTCGATATTAAATTAGATGTGTAATTAGTAAATATTTTTAAACAAGTTCAGTGGGACTACTAAGATGATGGGAAATATCTAGAAATCAAATAGAGTTGCCCCAAGCTTCGAAATCAGCTGTGTGGCCAGTGTGACAGCTGAAATCAAATTTATAGGCAATAAAATACTAAATAAATTTCATCCAATTATTTTCAAAATATTCATTAGTTTTCATACCCTAGCACTAAATAATGCCTCCTAATAATTTTTTTTACTTTATAATTCGCTAGTATTTTTCATAGACTAAATCCTGTATTTATTTTTTAAATTAGTATTTCTGGTCATTGGAATTGCAGCCACACTGATCTATGTAATTGTCAAAGGCGAAGGCGAGCGAGAGACGATAAATAATTTTTATTTTTGCTTTAATTAACCGTGCTCGAAATGAAATTCTATTGTCGAAAAATGCTGGAAAGTGTGTTTGTGTAAGAATATTGTGTAAACACATTGCCATTGTAAAACAGAAAGGCGAAAATTCCTTGAAATAATTTCCAATTGGAATTGTGCAAACAGGGTGTCTGTTTGCGTATGTGTGTGTGCGCGCTTGTGCTTGTGTATGTGCCATCCTTAATTTTTTCGCACATATGTATGTACATATGTATGTAGCTGAACATTTTTCTCTAATATACCAACAATCGAGAGCGCACACATAGCAAGGCGAAGAGAGCAGCACGGCGCACAGCCACAGCCACGGTACCCTTGCGAGAAAAGGTAAGTAATTGAGGTGTATTGTAATGTAGTGTCCACCGATTCCCCGAAGGTCTGGTCTGCGCGCCACCGCGCTCTTCCAATTACATGTATGCTTCTTTTTGCACAGCTGGTTCCTTATAAACCAGACAGAATAGACTGATCCCAAAAATAATAAATGAAATGCTTTAAAATGTTTGCTATTTTCAAAAATAAATATGTGGCATAAAAGATGCAACTAATTGTTGATGAATATTCAACTTTTGTTCATTTAATAACGTAAGCTATGGAGATATGCAAATGCTAAAATATGTTTAAGAAAATACGCTTTTCCAACCAGTGTGCACTGTCATATTTGGGTCATTCAAGTACTGCGCCTGTCTGTTTGGTTCTTTTCTGTTGGTTCTCTGTTGCTCTACTCTTTAACGAAGCTGCGCGCTCTCTCTAGTACCCATAAGTTTTCAAGTGGTATTTTTGTTGATTTAACGGCAATTGTAAAATAACGCACTAACGCAATAGTCGTATTGTCAAATTTGCTTGTGCAATTTGCATTTTTTCTATTACTGTTTTGCCTTGCTCGTGTGTGTTACTTGTGCTGGAATATAAGCGTCTGCCTGTGTGTGTGTGTGTTTGCATGAGAATTTCTCGTGTTCCCATAAACGATAGAGAGAAAGAGGAAGAGAGAGAGAAAGAGCGAGAGCTCGCGCTCGTGTGTACGATGGGCTGACTAGCAATCGCAATACTGCTTGTGGGTGTGAGTGGAGGTTGCTTGTGCTGATTGTGGGTGTCGAGGTGCGGGGCTGGTGCAGAGGTATTAGGATTGCTTGTTATTCTTTCTTTGTTGTTTTATTTGTGAAAAATATCTGCTACTGCTGCTATGTATGCACTGACCGAGTGCTTGTCTGTTTCTCTCTGTGTGTGTGTGTGTGCGCGTGTGTGTGTATGTTTATGAGTTGAAGGTAGTAAATACATAAAAATAAAAAAGGAAAAATAATTGTGCATGAGAATATGTAAAAGCAAATCAAATCTAAGCGACAACAACAACTTTGTTAAGGGCAAATTTATTTAAGCTTTATCTTAGTCCATGTATCTACGAGCATACACGAGCACTTATTAATACATGCATATAAATACATGTTTGTGATTATCTCTTGTGCGTTTCATAATTCGGTGAGCGAGTAAATTCCAATGCTGACTAACTCAAATTTCAATGCTGAACGGAAGTGCAACGTTTAAGAATATGCGCGTTGTTCTTGTTGCTGTTGCTGTTGTTATGCTCCCATTTTCCATCAATGTCAATTCGAGAGCGACCTTGAAATTCACTTGAGCATATTCCAGAGTGTCATTGAGCTAGATTACCAATATTGAAGAGCCTGCAGATAATTGGCAACTAATCCCAATTATTATTATCTTGACTTTTTTTTAATTAGTACAACTTCAACCACCTTTCGATTGACAAACACTCACTGAGCGACAACGTTTTGTTACCACCGCAGCCGCATTGACGCGGCGCTGCCAATTCCTGCCAAGATATAGATCGACACAATAACAACAGCAACACTATTAACACACATTAACCCAAAAGAGTTGCAAGTGCAGCTGAAGCAATCAGCGACATGTTTACGGGTAAACTGCAGATCAAGGTTTGCGAGGCGAGCGGCCTGCGTCCAACAGATTTTCAAAAGCGCCACAATTTAACATTTGGCAAATTGGCCGATGAGCAGCTGATCGATCCCTACGTGTCCATTGATGTCGACGAGAGTCATTTTGGTGAGTTTTTCAGAATCGCAACGATTTGATAACACTCATAGATTCATTCAAAACATATAACTTAATAGATCGCTCGACAACACGACCAAAGACATTCGATCCAGTATGGAACGAGCAGTTCGTCCACGACGTGACCAATGCGCGCAACATCAACTTGAC